ATGGGAAAAAAAAATTATAATAAAAAATAAACTATAAAAAAAAAAAGAGAAGAGGATAGAGAAAGATAGAAAGTGAACAATAGAGGGGATGTTAGTGAGAAACAGATATGGTTTATTATCTGTTGAAGATGACGTGTATAGTATTCTCAACTGGACTGGTCTGGGAAGTATTTCATGATGGGTGAAGTCTTTTAACAAGCAAAATGAGAAATAGTGATTGACTGTTTTAAAAAATTATAATAATAATAATTATTGGGAAATGCATGGAAAAGACTTTGAATGATAAAGCGGGGAGATCGATGCCTCTGTATTGACTGACATGCATGGCATTCCAAAAAAAAAAAAAAAAAGAATTTACTCGATGCAGGATTTTGATAGACTTAAAGTAGATTACATTTCTGAATAGAGCAAATGGGATTTTGGAGAATTTACATTACCAACCCAATAGCACATAGATAAATAGTATCAGAGCTACAACTATACCTTGTACAATTAGATTTATTTTTCAATTCTATTCATAACCTTTTTCATTGGAAGTATGATAAACATGGTCATTTACTTGTTTACTGTGAAAGAAGGCACAATTGTCTTGATACTTTTCATTTCCCAGAAGAGAATTAGTGTGTATTCTCTTAGGAGTATTCCTGCGGAAGTCAGAAAAGCTCAAAGGTCTGCTATAAAAAATGACAATATGAATATTCCAGACATACTTTAGTTGTGGGAACAGTTCATTTCCAAGGTAAGAGGAGAGGATTTTCATTGTTTAGGAAACAGTTTAAAGCTATAGTTTAAATTTAGAACTAAAGTATATGCTTTACTATTTAAATATGAAAGAGATGATTCTACTTAACTTTTAGTCGTTGTCCAAATTGAATCAGACACCTTCTAGGAAATAGGAGGCCCTACAAAATTTAGCCCTTTAATTTATTTGATAAGACAAGCAGAATAGGCAGAGTAAAATTAGGAGGATATATTCATAACATAAGAAAATAAATAAATGGAGAGAAATTAACTTTCAATGAGATATTGGTTAGATGCTACTTAGTGGTAATTTTATTTCTTGTGGAAGGAAAATGCATAATGAATAGTAAATTTATTTACTAGTTAGTAAGTTGATATAAAAGCCAGTTTTATTGAATTCTTTCATGATATACTTAAGCTTGATAGCTTTATAAAATTATTCAAATATGGTAGGTGATTTTGTGTTATTTCTAAAGCATATGATTCCATTGTTACAACACATCACAATGAGTATACAATACGGTCAAGTGGAAATAGCTTAGAGTATGAGGTCAGAGATACCTTGACTTGAATCTTCACTTTCTACTAACTATGTGATCTTGGTCAAGTTATGTGTCTGGTTGGACCTAATTTTCTCATCTCTAAAAGGATGCTGAATTGTTCATTTTGCCTTGGTTATGTGGATTACACAGATGATGGACACAAAATTTCTTACCCCCTAGTAACTTAATAACATAGTTGCTGATATCATAGCGTTTCCTATATTTTTAAGTTTATTTATAAATTTCATTAATGAGAGGAAGAGAGAGAGAGAGAATAGAGAGCATCTCAAACAGAGATTGCACTGCAATCTACCTTCAGCCTCAGCCAACCCAAGTCATGGTGCCTGCATGTACGCCCGACTAGTCATAGAGGTCCACATTTGTGAGCCAGTAACCTTTCTACCTCGACTTCCTCTCAGAGCATTGCATTTTATAGCAGTACCTCCATCTGCCATCCATTTTCCTTCTTGGTGAACTCAGTGTTTCTAATACTGTTTACATGAGTACTTAATAATTTATGTTTTCTGGCTATATGATAATTAAAGAGCTTGAATTTATTTTTGGCCGTCTAAAATGGGCATGTTTTGTTTAAAATTTAGAATCTATATGTTTGTCTTTTTGCCTCTCTCACAGTGAAAACAGAGACATAAACACAATCTGTTCAAACTTCCTAAAATACTAGTAGACAGAAATGCCTGTTTTGAGACAACCTTAAAAAAAGTATTTAACCCCCACACTTTTTGTCTGTTATTCCTCCAGTTCCTTATAATGAATTAAATGATTGTGCCTATAGGACATGATTTGGATAAAAGAAACTAATTCACTTAATTTTTTTTTTCTTTTAAAAATTTTGCTACAGGGCACATGTGCCCCATCAAAGAGTGATAGAGAGAGGGGAAGAGAGTGGAAAAGTAAGAAAGCTCCCCCTAGGATAGCTGGCCACACTGTACTCCCTTTTCCTCCATTCTCTGGCTTGGGCATGCATACATACATGCCTGGTATATTTTTCAAGGATCATACCATCATTAATACACAAAATATCTGATTTAAGAAGCTAAAAAAAGGAGGGACCAGCAGTTAGCGTAATGGCTATGTCGCTGGACTCCCACGTAGTCGACTGTGGTTCGAGTCCTGGACCCGGTGGCTTAAACTCACGCCAGGCGCGTGTGGGTGCGTACCTAAGATCCCGAGAGGAGAATGGAGGAGAAGGGATTGCGGCATGGCCATTTTCCCTGGGGGGGGTGATTTCTTGCTTTCTGTCTCTCTGTCTCTCTCTGTCTGTCTGGCAAGCGCACGCGCCCTATAGCAAAAACAAACAAACAAACAAACAAAAAAAACCCTCTTCAATAAAAAGAAAAAAAAAAAAACCTCTCCAAAAAAAAAAAGATAAAAGATAAAAAAGGACATATTAATATGTAAGTCTGGTATTCTATTTTATCTTTCTATATATTTTACATAACTGAGAGTGTGTAAGTATAAAATAATTTCACAATGATTTTCTCATTTAAATTCAACCTATTTTTGTTACATGAATGGCCGTTCTCTTTTTACCAAAGGAAACTTAAGGAAGATATTACATAGGCTGTGAGGGAAAACTAGGATTAATGGTGTTGGTAATTATCAGGTTTGTTGAGGTTTTTATCATAGGGTGTATGACCTCATCAGAGAAAACAGAGAAAGAAAGTGGGAAATCACCCCCACCTTTAGTTGGCATGGGCATGCTGCAATCCATTCTCTTTGATTATCCTCTCAGGATTTGGGGCACACATGCACACGTGTCTGCTGTGATTTTCAGTCCAGTAGATCTAGGACTCAAACTGGGCTTGGCAATATGGGATCTATCATACCACCAGCTGTTACAGTGTTTGTAAATTTTAACTGAAGTAACATGAAAATATAGATGATAGGAAATTTGACAGAAGTGAACTGGAAATTAAATCCATTAAACTGGCAGATTTTGAATATGACAAATTTAACATGTCCACTGAATAAAATTCTTTCTTTTTTTTTTTTTTAACAGAGTAATGTATCCACTTGGACCCAATTTTTTCAACACTGTCTGTCCCAATACTATCAAGAAAATAATTATGCCTGCCCAAGGGACAAATAGAAAATAAAATAAAATTGGATTGACACTGTTTTCAAAGGAAGTTGCCTTTAGACTAGAACCTATAAATGTTATAATAAGTGAAATGTCAAGTTTTCCCTCAGATATGAGCTCATATGTAATTCATTTGAAAAATGTGACTGAAGTCACCATGTTTATACTGATGGGCTTCACAAATGATTTTCACATGCAAGTCTTCCTATTTTTATTATTTCTAGCAATCTATCTTTTTACTTTGGTAGGAAATCTGGGATTAGTTGGATTGGTCATTGGGGATTCTCGGCTCCACAACCCGATGTACTATTTCCTGAGTGTTCTGTCTTTCTTGGATGCCTGCTATTCTACAGTTGTCACCCCAAAAATGTTGGTCAATTTCCTGGCAGAGAATAAATCCATTTCATTTTATGGCTGTGCAGCACAGATGCTTCTCTTTGTTACTTTTGGGACCACGGAATGCTTTCTCCTGGCTGCCATGGCCTATGACCGCTATGTGGCAATCTACAACCCTCTCCTGTACTCGGTGAGCATGTCACCCAGGATCTATGTGCCGCTCATCATTGCTTCCTATGTTGCAGGCATTTTACATGGTACAGTTCACACAGTGGCCACTTTCAGCCTGTCCTTCTGTGCATCCAATCAAATTAGACATGTCTTTTGTGACATCCCTCCTCTCCTTGCTATTTCTTGCTCTGACACGCACATAAACCAGCTTCTACTCTTTTACCTTGTGGGTTCTATTGAGATTGTCACTATCTTAATTGTCCTGATCTCTTATGGTTTCATTCTGTTGGCCATTCTGAGGATGCGCTCTGCAGAAGGGAGGCAAAAAGTCTTCTCTACATGTGGTTCTCATCTCACAGGAGTGTCCATTTATCATGGGACAATCCTCTTCATGTATGTAAGACCAAGTTCCAGTTACACATTGGAGCATGACATGATAGTGTCAATATTTTACACCATTGTGATTCCCATGCTTAATCCTATCATCTACAGTCTGAGGAATAAAGATGTCAAAGAGGCAATGAAAAAGCTGCTGAAAGAATTAACTTCATAAATAAAGTAAATTTTCAGATGTAAGTAGACTGGAAAAAAAATTGTGGTTGTCAGGTCACACCTCTATGGTCAGCAACTATAAAAGAATTAGTTTGATCTTAGTTAGTAGTACTTATATAACTAAAATACTTCTAACGAAAGTATTAGTTAGCTATCCAATAAAACATTTTGGAGAGGTCAATATTTTTATAATTTTATATACCTATGACTATGCTCAAAATGCTTTGCATTAAATATTCATCCAAAATAAGTATTAGTGTTATTAATTTTCAGTAACTTACAACTTTTTGGCTGTGTAAGAAATGAAGTTCTCAAGGTTTTATGGTGTGATTTGATTTTACACTGTTTATGAGTCTGCAGCACCCACTGTGAGGTTAGTCTCTCATTTTTCAATCCTTCTTGTACTAAATGTTACTTCAACTGCTTTGTACACTCCCACACATCAGTTTAATATAGGCATCCATAATGCCTTTTGCTTTTTTGGCACAAAACTATAGAATTTTTTAATGATTAAAATATTCATAAAAATTTAAATATCCCTCTTTTCATCCTAATATAGTAGACACCAATGGGGATAAACTGTCTACTGTGACCTGCTATTTGTTCAGATCAATAGAGAATAATGATTTATTTAACACTCAAGTTAATTAATCTTTATTTGAGACTAGAAGATGTGATAGTTATGTCACTGGACTCCCATATGGCCAGTTGCAGTCTGAATATGTGTGTGTGTGTCCCCAAACTCCTAAGAGGATAATGGAGTATAAAGAACTGCAGCATGGACATTCCTCTGTGGGACAATTTCTCGGTTTATGTATCTCTGTCTCTCTGGGGAGTGCAGTGTAGCAAAAATATCTCTGAAAATAAATAAGTAAAACTTTATATATCTGCACTTAATTATCTTTCCCTCAGAAAGAAAAACATTCGTGATTTTTCCTGTCCTCCCTACTACTAAATAGATTGTTTAAAATAATTCCTTATAAAATTGTTGTACATCTTTTTGTGGTATGGTATTGTTTTTCATAACACACATGCAATGTGTATAATCAAATAAAATATATTACCATATTCATCATTTTCAACCAAAAACATTATTGTGTACCTTCAATAGTTATTCTACTAGCTTTTTAAAACATATGTATACCTATATTTGGATGTGTTTTGTATGTTTTTATATATGCTTATATATGTATGTTTATATATGTATAATTATAATGTCTCTTTTTAATTTTGTTTACCCTCTTGTGTGGTGTACCGTTTTATAATCTGTTTGCCTTGTGAACATACAATCGTGTATCTGTTAAATTGTTTTTTTTCCTGAGTTCCTTCTGACTATCACCTCCCCCAATACCATGCAGTTTTTGGTATCTATGTTCTTCTGTCTACTCTTGTCTACAAATCTTTCTGGTTTTGCCAGAGAGTTTAGGCTTTTGACAATTATTGAACAAAGGCTTTTTTTATAGTTTGGATTATTTTACTTAGCATTAAATCTTCTAGATGTATTCACTTTTTGTCATATGGTAGGGCCATGCTATTCTTTATGGTTGAGTGGCTTATGGTTAATTTGGGATATCACTCAATTGAAGAATGTCCTGTTGAGTGGTATCCATAGTGTACATGTGCCACATTTAAAAAATCTAGACAACTGTTAGCTAAGTTGATTAAAGGTCTTATCTGTTGTGAATAATATGAAAATAAACATTGATATGCAAGTGTGTCTCTGAGTGATTTTCTGTTCTCTAGGTAAAATCCCACAAGTGGGATTGCTGGATCATATGGTATTTCTATTTGTAAATTTTTGAAGAACCTCTATATTGTTTTTCATATTACATAATTCATATTCCCACCAACAGTGCATGAATATTCCCTTTTTTCACACCCTTACCAAAATTGTTTACCAGTGATCTGTATTTGATTACTATGTAAATCTGCCACTATGCTGACACTGTAATGCTAATAACAACAGGGATTGCATTGATTTAATTTCAGAATTTTAACCCCAGGATATGAAAAGTACCTGGAATATATAATTTACAGGAAAAAAAAATTACTATATGATTAGCAAGTGTGATAAACCAAAACAAAACAGAAAAATAAATAAAAAAATCAAAGAATGAAACAAGGGATGTCACTATGTATCACTGAAATAATAAAGGAAAATAAAAGATGTTATAAACAATGCATTGCAAATAAGTTTGATAATTAAATAAAATCAAAATTTTCAGATTTGTTTTTATTATAATTCTGTTTTTTTGCATGAGGATCACAAATGCACTAGATGTGGTTGTTCAAAAAATGTATACATTGTGTAAGAATGAAATCAGGGCAATGAACACACCTATCATCTAAAATATTTATGATTAGTTTGTTTTGTGCATTCATCTCTTGTAGTTCATTTATTTATTTTTAATTTAAATTTATTTATTTACATTCATTCACTATACATCATCACAGCAAACAAAATGAGATTTCCCATCTAGAATACACTATATATTGGCTCAATCAAGCACATCAACATACGTGTTATCATCAACAAACAATTTTCCATTTCCTATTTCCTGTATATTTTGGTTTTTTGCCATTCTTGATTTCCTATTTCTCACCCTCTGCCGTATCCCACCCTCCTCCCACACTGTCTCTGGTATCCACGGTTGCTTTCTCTGCCTTTTCCCCGTATTTTATTTATTCACTAAAGAACTTAATTAATCTAAATACTTTATATATATATATATATATATATATATATCCATGAACACAACTCTG